ATTTGTAAAGGCACTCCGAGCCTCTCAGCTAAGTGAACATGCGTGTACGAGGGCGGATTCGCGATGATCGCATGAGTAACCCATCTCATAGAACTAACACCTGACAACAGTTGAAGAAAATATGCTACCAGTTCTGCACGCATGCACACTCACTCTGAACCGACGCCCAACTGCCGACTTTATTTTCCTGCCAACCCGGAGGGAAGTAGATTTCCCTCAGCGTGTGTTGCATCTCTGGCCCGTGGAACATGAAGTGATAGAGGTCTCGCGGACTCAGCAACAGGTCGGGACCCATCCCTGGGTTCTCCTCCGCATATCTGATAGGAATCCACCATAACTCCAGAAACTGGCAGAAAATGCAGACTAACCATTTGCATTTTCTGCAGCTCACAAAAAACCCTTAAACCATCACTAAAATCCCTCTCTGGTGAAAGTCAGATCGTGCTTAGTTTCTCAACACTGACTGATAGGTGTTGAGATGTGGGTTAGACCCCTTTGAGTAAAATCCAGATGGCCAACGACGCCGCAGTGCTGCAAGTGACATCCTACTACGGTATTGGATGAAGAAGAGGAGGAGGAGTTCCGATGGTCCACCACCCATCACAAGATAGAGTGAATGGCGAGCGGCTAACACACTCTTCGGTGTCAGAAAATTCTAAATGATATCAAATTCTATCTCACACACCTCGATGCCTCACTAAATGCAAATATCCCGACTCAGCTTTAGAGACTACTGCGATAAAAGGACCAACGAAGTTAGACCTATTATGAAGCAACTTTGTGACGAGTTGATCTTCGTGTGTCCAATCTCAATGTTACGTAATATCAACTATTATGTTGGTGTTTATGCATTGCAATTCATTCAACTACACCGCACAGAATTCCCATCACATTTCCTCTCACTTCATAAGGGTCTCTGGTTGCCAATGTCCCTTCTGTGCTAGTGCGAGTGGGAAGAACTCGATTCCCTGCTTAGTAACGAAATCTCGGAACTTATCGTGGGTGCATATTCGGGATCGGTGGCCTTGCGCGTTCAGAGCCTGAGCGGAAAAATAAAAGGGCTGGGCCGAGAATCGAACTCGGGACCTCTCGCCGTCCGAGCGACATTCTTACCCGTAGGCCACGGGTACGAAAAAAAAACCGAATAAGAAGCGAATAGAAAACTTGAAAAGCAATTGAAATATAGCATTTTCGCCTCTATTTCATTCGAGTCCTCGTTCTTCTAAACTCTTAGCAGACTTCTTCAAATGCTTACATTTCACCGTGGACCACGAGCGTAGGCCATCATAGACCAGCATGGACCACGGGGGTAAGCTTTTCTCGACAGTTACGGGTCCTTTCGTTTTCTTGAAGACGGAATGAAATAGAGAATCTCCGCTTGCTTCTGCCCATGTATTTGCGAGAGTGTGAGCTACTGTTCTCGTCTGCCGCAGTCATGCTCTTGTCACCTGCTGTGCGCGCATATTTCGCCGCGTGCTACTTTCGCGCTCGCCCAAAAATGCAAATCGCTCGACCAGCATAATTTCCCACACATCTCTAATTGTCCTAATGCCCGGCCGTGGAAGACCATCGAAAGCTCAGTTAGCAGCTGAACGGCGCGAAGCTCTTCGAGGGCAACGGGATCCCTTCATGAGACCGGTTGAAACCAGCCAAGCATCATCAATCCCAGCAAGTATGTCCGGAAACGATAACCAATAAATTATCTTAGACATTGACATGTCACGGTAGTATTCTCAGGCCAAGAACCTCATAGGCATGAGTGCTCAACTGTAACGGGTAACGAAGCCAGTAAATCCTCTGTAACTAGGAAAGGTGGAGACTTCCCATCCGAAAAGTCTGACAATGTATCATCGACTGAACCTTGGGATTATACAACCTGGTCACACTACAAAGTTGGATTTGGGAAGGAAGCCACCATGACTTACGAGGAGTTCTGGGATCGAGGACCGGCGAAAAAGCTCGGAGCATACCTCATTTTCATGGGTAGGGTTCAGAATTCTTCCCATGGCCCTGCAACGAAAACGCAACGCAAATTCCTGCGATGGCTCCAAGCGAAGATTTTAAGTTCTGGGGATCCAGAAGCAGAATTGGATAGGCTCGAAATATTCGAAGCGGATATACGTCGTTCGTTACTGCTAGACACGAAGCAGTATACCTCATCCGTTGGCAGTTCCGAACTGTCATTGGAGCAAGAAAAAAGCTCGCCCCATCCACCGGCTTGCGTGCCGCATCAGCCGAGGATTCCGAACCCGTCACCATCCAAGGGAGGCAAGGGAAAGACTGCTCTATCACGAGAGCTGTGGAGAGCCTTATGTGTTTTCTGTTTTTATGTGTTTTCTATAGGAACACACAGGCGACCCTATGTACTGTTTGAAGGTCGTCGACATGTAGGACCTTGGTATTGTCCTACGTACGACGGCGACTTCGATAATTGGCGCGAGACTCGGCAAATGGCCGAGTTCCTGCGAATCAGAGCCGCTCGAGAGGCGGGCGAGCGCAACCGCGGACGCCCTAAGCGTATGCCCGGGACCGCAAATACGGTGACCGAATGCGCGCCAGATGATGATGAGACTGGTGCGCCGGATGCTGATGCAATCCAAGAAGCTAGTGATCACGCTTCTGGTCCGCCTCGGAAAATGCCGCGCTGCGGCACCTGCAATAAGTATCGCACCGCAGCTACTGGTCATCGCAAGCCCAGAATTGGAGGAAGATCTGCCGGATGGTATTGCCCATCCATCCCCGGGACATTCGAGGAGTGGCTCGAGGCCCGAAGCTCAGATACGCATGGCAAGTCGTAGTTCATAATATGTGTGTGTATGTGTTATTTGTCGACAGAATGTGGATAATGAGTGATTGAATCTTGGCATTG